TCTCTCTCTCTCTCTCTCTCTCTCTCTCTCTCTCTCTCTCTCTCTCACACACACACACACACACACACACACACATACACACACACAAATTTTTATTGCTTTATTTGATATATCCAGACTCAGTATAAAATGGTAAAAAGCAGAAGCTTATCAAAGTGCTAAATGAAATTAATTTTAATTTCACTTTATGTTCTATTTACTCTTTATAGGTCTGTATGAGCTGCTGGCTTCATTGCCAGCCCAGCTGCAGCCACATGTGGACAACCAAGAAGACATGACCTTCCTCTGGGATATGTTTGGTGAAAAAAGCCTTCATTCTCTGGTAAAGGTAAACCACACTAAATGCTCATTCTTTCTGAGAAACATATATGGAAAAACGTTTTGAGCAACCTCTCGTATACCAAGAATCAGTTACTCCGTGGAAACAAAACAGCCTTGTTTCGCTTCTGTGCTTCTGTGAGGGATGGAAGTTGTTAAAGGTTTCTACCAAAAATATTGCAATGATTTCATTTAATAGTGATGTTTTGGCAGAATGCATTAATGTAACAAACATATGATGTTTGCCCTTGTTTAGAATGAGGCAGCATGAATTAGTAGCAGGAAATCTGAGACTCCTTCATGGTCAACATTCATGGCCTGGAGTTTAGCTTACATAAACAAATGTTCACAGCAGAAATTAGATGGCATATATTTTTGAGGTAAAGTATGGCAACTATTCAGTAGCCACATTAATTTAAAATAATTTCCTTTAACAAAATCAACTGAAATTATAGTTGGTTCTTTAATTGGATTGTATCCATCAAAGATTGTGTTTTGTATATAAATATACTAAACTTGTATGACTAAAATAAGCATAGTGAAGTAATTGAAGTGAAGTAATTAATGGATATGTGTCTTCAAAAATGGTAAATGTTCATGTATATTGTACTTTATTATTTACAAAATTATTTGAAGTTTTGGTTTCATAATTATCATGAAGCTTTTAGTTTACAAATTGGAAATTAGACTTGTAAAAAATGTGTAAAATAAGTCTGCTACTTGGATTTTATACTAAATTTGGAGTCTAGCTTCTTGGAGAAATCTGCATTTCTGTAGCAGAAAACAGAGGGGAAATTATTCTTTTAGACTGACAATTCTTTATATGCTTATTTAGATATTTATAAATTATTTGTATGTTGTTTAGTCATGGATTCCAGCGAATTTACAGTTGTAAAAAGGCAGTAACAAAATAACATCTCACAAAGCTGTTAGTTGGCTTAACTGATATTTTTATCATGGTGTTCATACCTTCCTGAACATTAGCTTACAGTGAGGGGTGTCAAATTGTTGTACAGCGAGGAGATTACTGCTAAGAACACCATCCTCCAGGTCTCTTTAATTTTGCAGATGCAAGGATCCCATAGGCTCTCTACTGACTAACATGTATTGGCTGGCGATGATCCTGGAAGTAACAAGGCAATATTTATAGCTGCATTTCTGCCAGAAGACAATTAAAAAAACTACTTTAGGATGTTCTGAGTTGATAAATCTTTTCTTAGTTTGCAATAAAGGAGTGCTTTGGGATATATTACTGCATCAGAAATATGCCTAAGCATCTTTAACTCCATTTGGCCAGATGGCTTACTCATTATATGGTAACTGCAATTATTAAAGCACTTGAAATGTCTCTTAAAGGTTAACATAGTATTCAATAGAAGGCTAATCTGGAAGAACCCCTTCTGAAGGGAAAAAAAAGAGGGAAATTTAGCTAATTGTTGGAGATTTATTCAAAATGGAACATTTCAGATGATACAGTCATGTACTAAAATGACTCAGACAATTTATTTCACCCCAATTTTGTTCTGGCAGATTCCCTGGTATTGAGATACTTATCTTTTTTTAATTATGTATCAATTATTTGGAAACTAACAGGGACGAAAACTAATATGGTGCAGTGCTTAAAAGTGACTGAAACAGTGGGGAAACTCAGGCTTAAGTTGATAGTCAAGGACAGAAGCTTACTGTTTAATTTTAGGCTTGGTAATTTTTTCTTAATTCATCATAATTTCAGGAGGGTTGCTTTGTGGGGAAAAAAGAGGAAATGTTGTCTCCATGTACTTCACTTTGTGCTTCAAGATATAAGCACAGATACAAAACTAATAAAAGGAAAGATCACAAAGGTAGCTGTTGCCGTTTTTAAGGTTGTAAAGTATTAGACATTTTCCCTGATCAGCACAGGAGAATATTTGTAGCTCAGGGTTGAAATGAGGGGTCCTTGATGCTCCCTGAGCTTGCTTGTTTTCTTGGAGACATTTCAGTACCCAAACTAGGTAACATCATCAGTGCTGGTAAGGAGTGGGCCCTCTGACAAATTAGCCATCAAGAAAGTGCCAAAGAAGCCAACAGTAAATAGCCCAGCCAAAGAGTCTCTAAGACCACCCCCACCAACAGCAACAGGGCAAGGCACTAGAATATAAACCAAGAGCAAATCCCACTTCTTAACCAGTAATGATGATATTACCTAGTTTGGGTAATGAAAGATCTGCAAGAAAACCAACAAGCTTAGAGAGTATAAAGGAGCCCTCATCTTTCCCAGTCATTTACATAAAGTCCAGAAGACCTTATTTCCCCTTTTGTATTTCTTGATGAAATTTCTATAGGGAATGTTTCAAACATTGAAGAGTATATATTGGTTTATATGTAGTAGTGTTCCATTTTTCCCAAAGTTAAGTGAACTAATTTAAATATTACTAAATTATTTTTATAACATGAAATATAGAATAAGTTTTTTGTTTAATATATACAGTATATAATTTATGAGCCTTTTTCATTTTAAATTTAAAAATTGCTATCTTGTACAAATTGTTTAATGTTAGAAGAATGAATTAGATGAAAGAAAAGAAAAGATCCTGATCCAAATATAGACAATATGCTTTGTCTGACATAGGTTTTTTTTTGTTCTAGTTTTACTTAAAGAATAAAATGCATCATTTGTGCTGTTAAAATCAAGCCCTGCCTTGAACCAATAGATAATAATTCATGATATTGTAAGATGCTCCTGTTCCCTAATACTAATATTCAATTCCCCTTCTCTACATGCTGTACCATCTGAGGTGAGGCAGTTAACAAAAATAGAAGTAATGTTCTATGCGTGGAATGTTTACCCATGTCATCTTATGGGCTTTTGTCTTAGTTACCATTTACATGGTTATTTAATTTGTAATCTTTGAAAAGATAATAAAAGATACCACCTTAGTTCACCAAGAACTATTGTTATTCAAGAAGAGGGTAATTCTCTGCCAAACAAACATTATGTAAGGATCCACTGAGGCCATTTAAATTATTCAGGTGCCTCATAGGAAAGTAGTTCCTATGTTGTTCCATAGCAAGTAGTATTTCAGGTGTGCTGTCTGTGATCAGAGAGGTAGAAAACATCTTGATCATCATTGACTTTGTCTGGTACACTTTAAATAGCCTAAATTATTGATAGTCATTGAATGACAAAATTTTTCACAATTTAAACAGGTACACGTAATTGTTTATTTTCACAGCTTGTATGGTAATCTAATACATTTTTCTATAAAGCCCATCTGCAGGATGTGTTTAGGATTTTTCCTCCCACTTCCTGAAGCTGTTCTTCTGAATCCCAAAGTTTTTATTTTGTTATTGTCTTAGCTAATATGCTGGGATAGATCTTTCCCACATTAATATCTCTTAATTGCATGATAAAGGCCTCTAAGGCTCAAAGTAGACATTAATTTAAATAGTATCCTTTTCTATTTAGCATGCTTGTTTCAAAATATAAAACAATCATTCCTCAGAGGATGTCATGGTAAGTTCAGTATTCCAGTTGCATTCAGTGCCAATTGACAGTCATAAATTTTTTTTTTTAGAACTGTTGAAAATACAGGGAATATATTTTGTGGTAGAACACATTTTGAGCGCTCATATTTTCTTCTTAACATGTTTATCAACTAAATTTAAATTCCTGTATTTGAATTTATTTGATGCCATTACTTTGTGTAAAGGTCACTTATCTCATTCTGTGCTGCTATCATATTTTATTATTTACATGTATCTAATGCACTACGTTATCTTTAGCTCTCAGTCTTTCCATCTGGAATCTGAGGAAGAGTTGTAAAGCAAATATTGTCAGGCTTTTGTTCTCTTAATTTGTAGTTAGCATTCTTGTTAAGAAATGTCTGAACTGCAATATTAAAATACCTTTACAACTTTGCTTAATATGTTTGCTGTGCAAATGTCATGATGCACAAAATCATCTTCAAACTTTCATTTCATTTGCCAATTGTGATATGGGGTATTTATTTTTATTAGGCATATAGTCCCCATTCATCCTAACATCTAACAAGAAGCTAAAGAATTGTAACCTATAATATCTATGTTGCATTTCTAACTGTTCTACATTCCTTCTGAAAGGCATTGAAACACCTGTAATGTGAGTTTCATCTCTCTCTTTTTTAATGTCTTGTCTCACTTTTGTATTTTCGGTGTTTCAACTATTGCTACACCTCAGATTAAGATCTGCTAAACTTTGCCTTGCATTGTCTATTTTGAACTTATCTATATATTAATTGTCAAGGCCAAAAATATCATGACCTAGGAAAAATAGTTCTAGGAATGTGCCCATCATGTTAATAGCATATGAGTTATTTGTTACTTGTGACGGTTAGTAATGATGATGTCATTTCTTTTTTTCTTCACAATTTTTGCTATAATTTTGTCAACTCAAAAAACATTCATATGCCTGTTTTAGTAGTTGCCATAAAAAGGGGGGGGGGGGGAATCTGGAAGAGCAGTGCAGCAGTTTAAAAGCAAAAGTACATTCCAACTCTTATCTTTAAAAGATTGTAACTAAAATACCAGAACTTTTGCCGGAGAATATATTTAATTAGAGAACGTGAATGATGACACCCAGCCTGTGAACGGGCTTAATTGGAGAATCTGGTTTATGAGACACCAGGTGGGGAGGGGGAAAATAGGGTCATTGGTGACTGTAAATTACATATGCCAGAGTTGGCTTCATACAGGGCAGTGCCAGTATGTCGCCTCTAATGAATCCTTTGAAGTTTTTTGAAGTTTGAGCGATTGCTGGAATCCTGACAATTTACGATGCTAGATTTTCCTTTTGAGTTTCTAGCAAAATTGTGTTCTAAAATAAATCTCTGGTTCTGAATTCTATGCTACAGTTGGCAATTAAGCTGAATTTTGAAGGTAATGTGAATCATCATAAAACAGTGTTTAACTTATTGGACTTATTATATTTTAGCAGATTAAAAATGAGTGATTGTCATTTCTATAATCTGAGGTGTTTTTTTTGCTTGGCAGCCCCCTATAATGGAAGAGTCATCACTCCCTGGCTAACCTTTGTACAGTAATATTTTCAACATGTATGGCTTTGCACAACTGGCATAGCATTACTTGAATACTTTTTTACACAAACATCAGTTTACACAATTCTTTTAAAAAACATAATTCTCTTAGCGTTACTGTTTTTCTCTATGAAATTATGCCAGTTGTGCAAAGCCATACATGTTAAAAATATTACTGTACATTTTTTTAAACATAGCAAACACCATGCCACATCTAACTTACTTATTTTCATGAATGAAAGTAAACAAAATTGCACCTCTATCTTCCCCTCTTCAATTATATACAATTTTCAGAGACTTTATAAATTTAGATCTCTTTTGATAATGTTCCAGTGATTTTCAACTTTGTTTAAAGTTTCTAGGTTTAAATCAGTGTATCACTTGATTGTATCTTTTTAACATGTTCTGTCTAGCACCTTCAACCATTCGTAATCCAATTTCTCTAAGGAATCAAATAAGGCATTCATAGTTTGATAATCTTTATCCCAATAATATTTCTAGTTTGTAATTTCATTGTTTGTTACATTTGCTGCAGAAAGTACTTGAAGTATCATAATCTGAAAGAAGTCTCGTTTTCTTCTATCTGCTTTTTAAATTATTATTATTGTCCTGATCTTCTTAATGTTAGTCATTGCAATGTGTGCAAATAATATTCTTCATTTAACTTGGGTCTAGTGACTCCCTTTAGGTAAATTTTAGAATAAAAAAAATGAAATTCTGGAGTGATTCAATTTTTCATTGTTCATATTATCATTTCTATTGTTGTGGAAACTTTAGTCTTCTTGACGTTTAAATGCAATCCAGCTTTTTTACTTTCTTCCTTCGTTTCTAAGATAAATTATTTTATACAATCTTCATTTTCTGCCAGTAGAATAGTGCTGTCTGCATATCTTAAAATATCAAAATTTCTGCTACCAAATTTGATTGAAATTTCGGATTCTTTTAAATTAGAAGTTACCTCAAAATTGTCCCAAAGGTGCTTTTCAAAAGGCAATTGGATTTTGTTTGTTTGTTTGTTTTCCTTGAAGAAATTGTGCTTCTTATCTAAGAAACTTCTTCAGTTCTGACTGAATGGTGAAGAATAGAAAGATTTATATTCCTTGTAATCAATGTCTGGAATACTCTACCCGACTCTGTAGTTTCTTCCCCAAACCCCAAAAACTTTAACTTTAGACTGTCTACTATTGACCTCACCCCTTTCCTAAGAGGTCTGTAGGGGGCGTGCATAAGCGCACCAACGTGCCTACCGTCCCTGTCCTATTGTTTCTATTATTCTTCTTTTATTTTTCTTATATGTACCCATTTCATGTATTCACAACTATGTATACACTTATACTTATTATCTTGTAAACAATTGGCAAATCAAATAAATAAATAAATAAAATCATTTGGTCATTAACACTCTGAAGGTTAGCTCTCTGAGAGTTATAGAGGCCATTCTGTATTCTCAGGGTCCCCTGAATCGGAATGCAAATGGGTGTGGAACCTTCTCTAAAGAACTTGGAGAATTACATCCTAAGAATCATTTTCTAAATGCCTCTGGATCTTTTCTTCCTTCTGGCCATATAAATAATGCATTTCTGAAGATTTTTCACAACTTGCCCTCCGTTTCTACCATTGGGAACATTGGAGAAGATTAGAGCAGCGATCCAATACACCTTTATACAACCAGCTATTTGACACAAAATAGGGCTGTTGAAGAGGGGTAAGAAATGTTTCATTTTTCTATGAAGTACAAGTGAACATAATTTTTCCTGCAAGATTTGTACAGCTTGGGGACATGAAATACTTTTTGTTTTGTTGTTGCTCCTTTTCTTCAGCAATGAACATTACATTTGGCAATGAGTGCTTTTGAGAGAGAGGGAGTGGAATAGGCACCTCAAAATTGCTTCTTTGTATTAATAAAATAGATTACGCACCAATGCAGCCTTGTTACACACCTTTTCCATCTTAAAGCAGTCTGTATTCAAGTTGTTATAATCATGGGTTGCATATGCAGTAATTAATAAACAAGCCTATGAATATGTAGGAGAAAGAAGTATTTTGAAAGATGTATTTTAATATATTTAAAGAGAGCATAATATCCCTGTATAGCTCTTCAAGGACTTCAGTTTTAGTATGTAGACTACATATATAAAACAGGATTGTTGCTAGAGCCTCATGTTTCCATGTCAAAAAATACAAGATGAGAGTTCCTCTTCCAACTTTTGAATACTTTTTAAAAGTTATTAAAAAACTTGAGATTAAAGTACACAACAAAAACTCATCCAATTGAAAATAGTTTTTTCAGCAGCTGAGCAGGGAGTTTGGCTGTAAAAGCATAGAGAAATTTATCTTGGAGGAAGGGTAATTTGTTTGGCTTTAATCTGAATTTCCTCTATCCACCATGGGGACCTCTTCCTATAAGCGGAGTCATCAAAACACTTCTCCTTATTGACCAAAAAAGTTCATTTGAATGAAGTCTCTGAAATCTCAAATAATAGCTGCTTTATTTTGTAACATGAGGAACAAAGAAGTCAGTTTCTTTCAGAAAGACCAACATTTGGTTTTTAATGAGCCTGTCCAAGGAGCAAGGGTTTATAATAGTATTTAGATTATACACTTGCAAAATAGAATAGTCTGCATAACTTAGCTATTAATTCAGAAGATGAACTTCATCCTTGTCTAAATTTTTCAGTTATATTTAAAGACTGAAAATTGAAAGGGGAATGCAAAATAATATTGCAGGTCAGATAAAACAAATACATTGAATTAGAAGGGAATTCAACATTAATTTTGCATATAATACCATTTTGCATATAAAGCTATAGTCCTAATATTAAGGTTTTATAGTTTAAAATAGAACATTTAGTATAATCATTTCTACAATTGTAACTTTATAAATATAGCTAATTTTCAAAGGAATTTTAAATTTCTGAATTCCTGATATGAATTCCTGATGATAACACAGTGGTTAAAATCAATGAGATATTTAACTACTGTTAAGATTAGAGAAATTTTAGGAAAAAGTAACAATTTTTTTCAGGGTTCCTCAATCTTTGTGGACTTGTTGACACATTTGCAATGTTATAATTTGTTTTGAGAATTATACACATTTAGAAAATGGTGGTTTAAGAGAGTTATTATATAATATTATATAATATTATATAATAAAGGAACTGGGCATGGCTTACAGGAACTGGGTACGGCTAGTCAAGTGAAGAGAAGGACCAGGAGAGATATGATAGCAGTCTTCCAATATCTGAGGGGCTGCCACAGAGAGGGTCAAGTTATTTTCTAAAGCTCTTGTAGGCCAGACAAGGAATAATGGATGGAAACTGAACAAGGAGAGATTTAACCTGGAAATAAGGAGAAACTTTCTGACAGTGAGAACAATCAACCAATGGAACAGCTTGCCCTTGGAAGTTGTGGGAGTGCCATCACTTGAGACTTTCAAGAAGAGATTGGACTGCCATTTGTCAGAAATGATGTAGGGTCTCTCGCTTGGGCAGGAGGTTGGACTAGGTGACCTACAAGGTCCCTTCCAACTCTGATTATCTGTTAAATCTGTTAAAATATTTTATTACTTTATAAGTTTGTAAAAGGAGGGATGGGTTGTGTAATCAGTTTCTCAGAATAAAGGAAGTGCTTTTCAAATAATTTGCAAATTTGTTTTCTGACTATGGAAATATAATAAATAATAATCAACTCACACATTTTATTATCTTAATATAAATGTCATAAGATAAATCAAAATCCATCTTTTTTAAAAGGCTTCAAAATTGGTTTGGGCAAATCATGCAGAACTAATAACATCTGTGATAAGTAAATAGAAATCATATTTAATTGCAGTATGTTTTGGGAAGTAGATAGAAAGTACATAGAAAAACATGAAGGTGCGTTCTTGCAGGTTTTCCAGACATGTTATTAAATCTATTTTTGGCAGAGAAATGTTAAATTATATTGACTTGATGCAGTCCAACAAAAGAAGTTATGTAAATAAGCAATTTGCTTATTGAAATTTTAGAAATATATTGCTTTCTTGGTTATTTTTTTAAAAAATGTTCTAGCATAGAAGAAACATTTTATGCAAAATGGAAGGCTTGCAAATCATTGTGACAGAATGTCTAGATTTTATAATCAGACTGTAAACAGTCATTACTTGATTGTGTTGAAATATGAGGAAATACTAATGTTAGTTTGTATAAATGCAGGAATATGTTGTATGTTTAAATGACTTGATATTTTATATGTTTTAAAAGACTTGAAGAAACTACCTGTTTACATCTTGTTACAAATGTATTTTATTCCATAGCTTGTCCAAAAATGTTTAATTGTATGTACAGAGGATCAAAACAGATGGTTGTGACATGGCTATTAAAATCTAAGAAACATGATACCCAAGTATATTTTGCTGAATAAATATTAGGAAAACAATGTAGCCCTTTGCTTGTTTATATTGGTAACTTCAGAAGTATTGATGGTAAAATACAGCATTTTAGGCATTTTTTGTTTTCAAAAGAATTATATTATCTAAATCGTAAATAAGGTGTAAGAAAATATGTGGGGATAGATAAAGAACTACAAAGTAAAAAACAAGAGAAAGAAAAGTGAATGTAGTTTGACTGTATATTGGTCTGCAGTGGTTATTTTTTCCCCCCATTTGACTTCACTTCATCACTTCATCATCACCAAAAGGTGACGATGAATTGTGTCTACATGTTCACTACTAAATGCTTCCGTAAAATGGATAGGGTTTTTGGTTTTTGTTTTGTTTTGTTTTTCGCAGTTGTTTAACTAGCCAGTATATATCTCCGAAATATATTTCTGCTGCTAACTAAACCTTTTGGTTCCATTATTTCCTAGATTCATGATAAATTGCATCACTACGAAAAAAAGAGCCCTGTGCCCATGTTACACGGTGCATCAGCTTTGGCAGATGATGTAAGTGTGTACAAAATGTCTATTGACATCACTGATTTTAAAGACTGAAAGCAGTGGATAGAATAAGCATATGAAGTAGATCATCTGAGAAGAATAAAGAATACTTCCCAAAGAACTCTATGGGCATAAGATTTATCATCTTGTTTTGAATTGTATTAAGTCTTTAATTCTAGAAACATGGCATTTAGAATGGTTCTCATTCTGCCTTGATAGCCAAGATAAATTGTAGGCAGTGGTATTTTAACATCTATCTTGAAAGAAAAGTTGTTACCATCTTGTTACTAAATGAAAAGAGTGTTGTTTTCCAAAAATACATATAGATGAAGTAGCTAATAAACTGAGAGAATAAGAGAAATTACTAATAATTAAAGAAATGAGATGTCTTTTTTAATTATGGAAGCAATTAGAAATGAAATTATGCCAAAAGGCATGTTATTTACTTTATTGTTGCTATACTTTTATAGTCATTTTTCAAAAATTAAGGAACTAAAAACTAGTACAACTAAAAAATAAAGGAATTAGAACACAAAATGATGCAGAAAATAAAAATAGAAAAAATACTAACATAGTAAAGAAAAAGAAATGAAATATATAAATAATATTTCCCCTTCAACAATTTTAGTAATTTCATCTCCTTTTCTTAAAATTCAACAAATGATCTCTTCTTTCCATATCCAATCTCTTAGCTATAAACAAATCCTTAAAACCTCATTGGTCAGTCCATATCAGCTAAAGCCTATTAAGGCTTAGAAGAGATAACAACATATCAATTTTAACCTTGATCAAATAAACCAACTTTATATTCCTTCCTTTTGCTTTTAACAATCTTTCAAATAAAGTCCTAGAACTTGATTTCTTTTCATTTTTTGGTTCCTTCTCACAAAATTCTTAAAAGCTTTATGTCTCTTTGTGAAACCAATATAATAATCCAATATAAGAATGTTATCCAGGTATCTTTGTTTATTTTTTGCATATCCATTTTAACACCAACTAATTTTATTCATATATCGTTCGTGTATTAGTCATGTAATCCTATTCCATATCATTCTTGTAGCCTGTTATTTTTAAATCCACATTCAGATCAATTTGTCTTAACAAGTAAAAATTGTTCCTCTTCAATAACATATTTTAAACAGAATTTAATTATAATGGCAGACACTCATAAAATTAACTTCTTGGCCCATTGTTGAAAAATAACTTTCAATATGCCCATTGTAAGGTATTTTGCTCATCCTGAATTAGCAGGTCTACTTTAATTGTAATCTTTAGTTCCTTCTGATTCTCTATTATATCCAATCTTCAAAGCTCCATTCTATTTTTTTTAAAAAATTCGAAATAAAAGTATTTTTCATGTGAAAAATTCTTATAATGAATTCAATTTTTTTTTCAAATCTATCTGGACGCTTAGTCCATTTGTAATTTTCCAAAATCAAAGATCTAATCACCTTTTTGCTGTTGATCCAAAAGGTTTTTTTTAGTTCTTATATTTAACTTCTTTTATGAAGGATTGAAGGAAACTCACTTAGTACTATAAACCTTATCAGTCCTATGGTTCCTAATAGCTGAAAATTATCTGAAAATTAAGTATGGGTAGTCCTTGACTAGGTATTTACTGTTTAATGACTGTTCAAACTTAACAATGGCTCAGAAAGGGTACTTTCAGCTATTATAAAATGCCAGGCATCCCCAGCTCACATAATTGAGATCTATTTTGCTTGGCTACCTTTTCATACAATCAGTCGTCAAGTGCCTTATAATCATGTGGTCATAATTTGCAATCTTTTCTGCTGACGTCTTCAGAAAGTCAGTGGGAAAACAGTCGGGAAAAGTATCAGGGTTTCAAGGTATTGTTCCCTGCCTCTCCTCCTCTTCACACAGAGAATGCAGAAATCCTTCATCTGGCTCCAGAAATGAAGTTCGGATCTTTAAGAGTGCAGGAGTTTACCCCACCTCATCCATGCCTGGAAGGGAACTCCTGCGCTGAACTGGAAAAATGAAGTGGGAATCCTGAAGATCCAGGCTCCATTTCTGTGCCACACCACAAGAGTTCCCCTTCCGCTCATGGAGGGACCTTCCTGTTCTCCTTTGTTCTTTTACTTCATCCACTTAACTTATGAAGTCGCTTTACGACTGGGAGAGCCAGGATTTTGCTATTGAGCAAAGAAATCACATGGCATCTCATTGAAACAACCACCTTGCTCACCGATGGAGATTCCAATCCTAATTGTGATCATAAATTGAGGATTATCTACATGCAAACCCAATGTCATTTTAGTTACGCCAACCATGGTTTGAGCAAGATTGCTGTTTCTTCATCTCCCAGTCAGTAAATTCATCAGAGACCACACTGGAGAGGAATTATAAAGAGACAGTCCTGCTTTCTAATTCTTCATTCCAATCTGTTTATTAGCTCTGTTTTTAGTAGGATTGTCTTCAGTTTACCATTTCTTCTCTGGTGTTACTTAGAATTTTTATTAATAATATCTTCTGATTGCGTGCATAGTTGTGTAAATTATGACAAAATACAAGGTGCTGCGAGAAAAAATAAACTGATTTAAAGGATAAATACATACAGTGATGCATACCTAATGACAATTTTTGATACAGTGCTGTATTTTTATTGTAGACTGATATTTTCATGTATTTTTATTTAAACATGTCTAAATAGAAGGGAATAAGGAAGGTGTGAAAATAACATTTTTGTAATTACAGATTCATAATTGTTGAACTGGATGATTCCAGAATACTAGCTCCTATGATCATGAATTTACAAAAATAAGTTCTTTCCTGTGGCATCTGTATTGTTGTATAACAAGAATGCGGTCATTGTTCTATGAACTTAGAGCTTCTTGCTATATTATCTAGATCACTACTTTGGATTATATTCTGACATGGTTGAGTTAATTTTCAAAGACTGTTCAGGCTTTTGAACGCTTGAATATCTGGTGATTTGACTCTTAGCTACATTTCTGTGATTCACTTGTCATACACTAAACAAGACATTTGCTTCTTGTATACAAACATAATAAAATCTGGAGTAGTAACACAACAGAAACACCATGATTCTGCATTCCAGCTCTAAACAAAAAAGCTACTGTGGGTTTTTTGGAAGCAGTATATTTCATCTCTTCACTTACAAGCTAGTTTTTATAGACAGCTATAAATTTGATCCAACCATTTTTACAAGCAGTGCTTTGTTTGCATGCAAAGGACCATTCACTTAGATGAGTGTTCTGGGATTTGCTCTCATTGCGATAAATCAGAATGTGATCTGGGTGCTGCTGCCAGAAATGGTCAACCTAAGTCAAATTCAGTTGAAAGACTTGCCCAGAATATAGTGCAAAGAACAGAAAATGAAGAGCAGTGATTGATTATCTGTTTTTCTTCATGCTAAAACTACTTGAAAGTAATAAATTTGAACAAACTGATTTTGGGTTGTCATCAACACATTGAATAAAACAATGCATTCGCTAATATTCTTTGGGCCGTTTTAATTTCCTTCACAGCTGGCTGAAGAGCTACAGAATAAACCACTAAACAACGAGATCAGAGAACTCTTGCAGCTGCTATCCAAACCCAGTCTCAAGGTAAGGGTGTGTGGTTTGTACCTGTTAACCTGCAGAATTGCTCGCTCATCAGTTTTCAAAGTACGGTGACATTTCTATGAACATTCTTGTGTCCGTATGTATGTGCAGAATTGCTAGAATAAAATGCTGAAGGCAGAGAAAAAGATTTATAATATAATGCATTCATTGCAACTTAATGATATATTTTATATCTTATACCATATAGACAGATTAAAAAGCAATAAAGTATTAAAACATACATTTCTAGCTAAAAATTCATTTCATTGCTACCATCCAAAATCTGTATATGAAAGACTGTCTTTATTGCTATTAAGCCAAATCTTGCTACGTTCTTAGAGTAATATCAACTTTGGAAAGGATCTCAGAGGTCATCTAGTTCAAGTGCCTGTTCATTATGCTAAAGCAGTTTGGATAAATGGCCATCCGGTCTCTATGTGCAGATCTTACTGTGGTGCAAAACAGATCCAAAATTTACCAGACAATTGAAGATAATCCAGTCAGTTTATTCAATCCTGTAAGTCATTCAACTGTGTCTTACAGCAAGGAACCTTAGAGTCAAATTAACATAAGTATATGTAAATGTGTTACACACATAAAAGCTCTCAGTAAGTGGTGGGATTCAGATTTAACAACTGGTTCTCCCAGGGTCTTGTTGGTTGTCATGGGAGGCGTGGTCCATCTCCATCCTCCAGCTCTGCCGCACATGCAAGACGAGCCTCCCGCAACAGCCAACCTGACCGTGGGCGAATCAGTTGTTAAATTACCCTTCCCTGGCTATCAAATGGATCCTGGGCACTGCAATGGAGAAATGGGCAGGCAATAGAGTAGCCAGCACAAGGGAAAGAGGAGGAGCAGGGAGAAGAAAGAGGGAAAGCGGCCTTTTCCTTCCCACGCACCAGCCACTTTGCTGCCCATTTCTTCATGGCAGCAGAGCGCCCAGGATCTACTTGGATAGTGAGGGGGGGGGGGGTAATTTAACAACATGTTCACCAGAACTGGTGCAAACCAGCTGAATCCCACCACTGCTCTCACTGAATCTGCATTTCTTCCTTCACCTTAGTTTGTAAGTGTGAAATGCCATTGCAGTTATTGCAGTTCGAATATTGGGCTCTCACACATTGTATAAGCCATAATGTCATTTGTTTTGGCATAGCAGTTTGTATAGATCTGCCCAAATGAAAAGTAAATAATATATGAACTTTACCAATTGTAATATATTAAGTAAAGGAAGGATAAATAAGCCATGGTTTATTATGTGTTAATCCAATTATTGTGTTGGGTCTCGATTCACCCTTATTAACCTCTCGCTGGTTTTCATTTCAGCAAGAGCTAAGTTCAGTTTGTAATACTAACTAACTCTGAATTCAACTATGCTATCATTCATACAGGTTCACAAATTTATCTGGCTTAGAAACTAGGCAGGGTGGGGTCCATCTAGTAGGAGACCTTTAAGAATTACAAGACTTGTTGGCTAGACATGGAAATGACAACATCATATTTCCATATTTAATATTGCTGCCAAGAAAATTATCTGAATATGTCCATCATGTGGTCTTGAATCCAGCTGATTTTGAAAAAGAATTCACCTTTTCAACTTTTTCAAAGTTATCTGGTAAGTTCTTCCTTGCTAAGCCCCATCATGTGGTGATGATTGTTCCTGGTTTAGAGTTACCTAGTTTGGGAGATTCTTAGTTAATTGGTTTTTGCAGTTTCTGCTGAAGTAGAAGTTTCTCCTTCCAAAATATGTGGATTAAAATTAAAGTTGTGAAAAACAGTAGAAACAGTATGCTTCCTAAATGCAATTTGGTGATGTACATAGGCCAAAAGCATAGCATTCAGATGAATCGTTTGAGGCATTACAATGATAATGGGATTGGTTTGTATCCAAAGGAAAATTGGCATGTGTGTGGCTAATGTAGAATGCTTTCCTGCATCAGTGTTAATAACAACTGAAGCATTGCTGCCTCGTGCGATTAGCAGTACACTGAATTAATTTTATGTTTTAGGAAAGAGAAGGAGCTCTATTTGTCAGGGTGAAATGTTCCAATTTGGTTCCACTTGGTGAATGATTTTTGGGAGTATTTCAGGAAAAGCATAGACTTCTTATATCACAATTGTTAGATAGTTGGCAGTCAGGTTGCTGTAGATAAATTTGAAAATCAGTGCAAATATATCAAGTAACAAATCTTAAATTTTGAGAATGGCAAAAAGCTAAAAAATGAATCACGCGGTCTTTGGGTTGCTCAGGAAAGAAAACCAGAACAGTTGAATTCTTAAAGTAATACAAAGTAAAAAAAAAAAAAAAAAGTAGAATTATTTTTATGGAACAATGAAGGTTTTTTAAAAAAAAACTTTTATGCTATCTTGTTCTTTTCCCTGCTTCAGCAGAGTAGTTTGATTTCCATGCAACTTTGTTATCTTACTGGTTATAGTTGCTTACTCATTTCCAGTAAGTTGTTTAATGAAATAAATTTGAACACAATATGCTGGACTACTGTCTTATCATGTCAAAACATACTGTAAATCTTTATGTTTAAAAGTTTCTAAATGAATACTGTACGGGTTAGTCCTCAACTTACAACCACAATTGAGCCCAAAATTTATGTTGCTAAGTGAGAAATTTGTTAAGTGAGTTTTGCCCCCTTTTTTCTACTTTTCTTGCCACATTTGATAACTGAATCCCTGCAGTTGTTAAATGAATAACAGCAGGGGTGGGATTCTCCTGGTTCGGACCAGTTTGGACGAACCCCTAGCTCCGACAATCAGCTGGCAGCAAACCAGTTTGCTCCAACAATCCCCCCCTGCGCTGGGCATACCTATATCCTCTCAGCTAATTTGTGCGGCAGAGTTGATTGCCTTTCCTTAGCTGTGTTATTCCCCAGTAGTAACATAGCAGGTACTTTTTTTGGGGGGGAAAGCTGATTACCAAACCGGTTGTTACACTAGCAGCATCCCACCACTGAGTAACAGGGTTGTTAAGTGAACCTTAACAGAATAACAGAGCTGGGTGGGGTCTTGTAGGTCATCTAGTCCAAGCCCCCACCCAAACAGGAGACCCTGTACAGTTCTGACAGAAGGCGGTTCAATCTCTTCTTGCTTGTCAGAAGGTCGCAAAAGGGGATTGCATAACCCTGGGACACTGCAACTGTCATGAATGTGACTCAGTTGTCAAGCATTCGAATATAAATCACATGACCACGGGGATGCTGCAACGGTCATAAGTGTGAAAATGGTCATAAGTCCCTTTTTCAGGGACTGCTGTTGTAACTTCAAACAGTCACTGTTGTAAGTCAAGGACTACCTGTAGTCACCTAGCCTGCATGTATGTATGCCCATATGTATCAAGACCAAAAAAAATCCTTTCCCTTTCTATTTATCTACCATGTCTGTCTGTCTGTCGCAATACAATGCAAAGTTTATTTTGTTTTATTCCCAGCAATTATTCTTCCTGTTACCCTGCGTTGTTTTGCTGTTTTACTCTATACTCAGTTCTATTTTATTTACTATTCTATAGTCTGTCCAATTATTCCAGTACTGTGTTCTAAATAAAAAAAAATACTTTTAGCATTCTTTTTTACAACATTTAATTATTTAAATTATCCAAATTGTTTTTCCTTTGGTCTAATTCTCCTAATCCTTTCTGCCCACACTGTCCCATAGTTGTGTGACTTCAATACAGGTAGTCCTTGACATGACCACAATTGAGCCCCACATTTCTGTTAAGTGATACATTTGCTAACTGAGTTAAGCCCCATTTTACGACCATGCTTACCTCAGTTGTTAAGTGAATCACTGCAGTTGCCGGTTCTGTGAGTCTGGCTTCTCCATTGACTTGGCTTGTCAGAAGGTTGTAAAAGGTGATCACATGGCCTTGGGACACAGCGACAGTAATACATATTAATCAGTTGCCAAGCATCTGTATTTTGATTACATGATCATGGGGAGGCTGCAAATGTTGTAACTCTGAAAAACAGTCATGAGTCACTTTTTTCAGTGCTATTGTAACTTTGAACAGTCACTAGATGAACTGTTGTAAGTCAAGGACTTCCTGTAGTCTGGATACTGAATGAAAACTGGTTCCTGGAGTCAATGATAACATCACCAGTCTGATGGTGGCCATAACTCATTTGTCAGGAGTGTTATCTGTTAGGGGCAGGGCCAACTATCCAAATTTCCTGTTATTGTTACACACACCCAACTGTATTTTTTTGTTTCAGCTGCCTTTTTGCTATTTATTTCTGTTTCATTTGACTTTCCTGTCCTTCAGCTCTCTTATCTTCTATTTTGTGGATTTGTCAAGTTCAAACCGAACCTGTCAGAAGCCATTTTGTTGTTTCTCAGTTGTCACACATTATGGGGAGCATGAGGTGGTGGTGAAGGAGGCTGGAATACATTGTCAGACACAACACAGAACTGTCTCATGGGAACCATCTCCACATATGTCAGATGAAGATGGAGAGGAGTGCCTAAAGAGCCCGCCAATTAGCCTAATTGGACAATGTGACTTGTGATACTTGGGGAGGGGATCATTTACTATTTTAACTATTCTGAAACCACGGGGAATATTTAGAGTTGGTTTTACATTTAATCGTGCCAATATGATGTGCCAATAAGTTCTCTGAGAGAGATCTCAGATCTGATTTGCTTGGGTTCGTTAGTCGGAACATTGACGTCTTTTCTATGGGTCTTCTTTGCATAGTTCTTGTTCATTTGCTGAACAATGGCTTCAATGGCTGTTCTCATCCCATCCCTCCTCGAATCTTCTTGCAATTGGAGACCAAAAAAAGGAAGTGAGGAGGGAGGGAGGGAGCGCAGTGGCTTGCCATTGGCTTATTTTTGACTTTTTCATACTGTATACCCATTAGGTGGCTTATAATGGGCATCTGCTTCAAATTTGCTTCTTCTTTTCAGAATTTGTTTTCAGTTTTTCTCCTCTACCATTTGAAAGCTTTTTTTAGAACTTTAAAAATTGATTAACTAGATGTTGCTACAGCAGTATCATCTGTCATGCTTACTATACTGTTGGAGATTTTTAAAGACTCTCTAATTTAATTGTTTTTATTCGAAAGACTTACTGATGACCTTCTGTGGGCTCAAAAAACAGCAGGATCAGGCACAGTTAATACTTGGAAGGAAGACTTTCAGGGATTAACAGGACTGTAAGCTAGACTGGAAAGCTAAAAAAATGTGGCAGCCACCTTTGTATCATGTTTATGAATCATCAAGAGATTTTTCTTTTTTAAGTAAGTGGATCTGATTAAATAATTTTCAAAATCCTTCTGAAAGTATGGTTTGAATTAGAAAGGGAGGAAAAAGAGGTGCCATAGAAAAGAAAATAAGTACTGTAACCAGATGACATAAAGTAGCTGCTTCTTTGAGTGGATATTTAAGAATATGTAGACTCCTGATATTAACAATCCAAAAAAGAGGAAACTAGTTTAAAGAAGGAAAAGAGTTTCACTTCATATGTACTATATCCATATTAATAAGAGCTTCAGACCAATTCACTGGTGCAGAAGAGTAGATGTTCAATGTTTAAAACTTTCAATGCAGAAAAAAAAAATTACATGTAAAAATAGAATTACCATGGTAAGGAAAAATCACTGTAATATTATTCCAAATAGCACTATTTCAGCAGCAGTCATTGTTTTAAAATGGTAAGTATATTATGATATTAAGCTGCAGCAGTAGCTGCGGTAGTTTCTTGTTTACAAAAGAGATAGAATGGTTAAAAAGACCTACTATGTATTCATACCTTGATTAATTAATTGTAATACTTTTGGAATGATCATGATGATTGCAGTTTTCTTGAGTTCTGAATTCAGTTTAAGGATATATTTTAATATATTTTCTTACACATTGAAATGAGCATTGGTACCAGTGCCTTTGCCCAAACAATATCAATTATGTATGGTATGGGATTTTAAATGTTCTATTTTGATCAGGTATACAAATCCAATAATATTTATATTAGGTTATACAAGAATTTGAATCATACTAGCTTTAACATTGTAAATGTGATACATGTTTGTATTAATGAATATGCCTAAACAAAATTTCTTCTGTTCATATGAATGATAGCTTTTAGATGGTGAATCTGGAAAAATAACAATCCTGTGAAGACAAGATCCTTAAAATATACATAACCATTAAGCATTTTCTTTCTTTTCATGAACAAAAAGAATCCAGTTTTCTGCTTCTCTTCACTGATGTCTTAGAAGTTTGTGTTTGTATTGAAGTTTTGTTAAATTGAACAAATACATCCTTTCTACAATACAGAATGCAGCTCCTTTGATTTTATTCTGGAACAAAGTACTGTTCCTAAGCTGTGAGGGACACTTTCGTGCCAAATCATTGCTGATGAGATGCAAACTGTATCAAGGTCTGCAGCAGTGATGGTAAATTACCAATGCAGATACTTTTTAATGCTTTTTAGTTGACAGTTGTTTTTAACCCACTTTGTTTTTGCAGGCTTTGCTTTCTGTGCACGATATTGTTGCTGAGAAAAGCTATGATCCTGTATTGCCTCCCATGCCTGACGATATTGATAATGAAGAAGATTCTGTGAAAATCATTAGGCTCGTAAAAAATAGAGAACCTCTAGTAAGTTTTAGCACTTAAATAACAATAAGCAGCAGCAATAGCAGTAGCATTTGGCTAATATTCTAAAAATGAGTTGATGGCATCACATGGTTTTGTACTAACCAACAGCTGGACTCCATCCAAACTTATATTGTTTTCATTCTTTGCCATATAATTCAGGATGAACAGTTAGTCACATTTAAGCCATGCTGATCCTGTGTAGGTAGCTAAAGAAAAAAATAATGGAATCAGGATCCAGAATCTGATTCTATTCTGCATCTTTATTTTCAAAGAGAGCCAAGAAGACCAAAGAGACCATATGTGTTATGTTGTTTTTATATCAGTTTGAAATATCTTATTCACAAGCTGACTTTATGATCTACTGTTTCTTCTGCTCCTTGCATAATCTATATTTTGAGTCATTTGATGATTTTTCAATTCTGCCCTTGATTACATTAGTTCAGATGGCATCCTCTTGAACAGCCAAAACAAAGCCTTCAGTTTCTTTTTTTTAATTCCAGTTATCAGTCATTGCCAGCTTTTATCTTTTATTTACTTTCCCTCCCCTCCCATGATCGAACAGTATAATAAATCAAATACTTTTTATAATCAATCCACACCATATGTGAATTGGTTTTTTTTAGCTTTTGCAGTTCTTCAACATCAAAATATGAATCAGAAGTTGATCGTTTGTGCCTCTGCATTTCCTTCAATTTCTGTTCTGTTTTATTGAATGGTTATCATTTTCTTCTAAATAATCTTGGATGTTGTTCATTATTGTGCCTGGGAATAATTTAAATATTGTAGTCAAGCATGTTATTGGCCTACAGTTTCCTGGTATGACCTTTTTTTGCTTTTTTTTTTTAAAAAAAACCCCAGTAAGTTCTGCCAATTAATAACCAGTCATTGATGTCTCTTATGCAATACTTCATTTAGCTGTTTAGTTATAATTAAATATAAACTGGTAAGATGTTCGATCCAAAAACCATGAAATTGATCAAGAGATGTTCAGTTTTTAATCATTTTCACTTAATTTTTAACTGTTGCTGTTGTTATTATTAGTTCTTCCAATTGATTTTTACCAAATTCAAGATTAATTTGGTAGAAATCAAATGGAAGAACTAATAATAACAGCAGCAATTATTTTAAAAATTTCAAGTTACCAGAAAACAGCGTCTAGAAAATTCTTTTATGTGGTTCAACTTTAATTTTATAGTAATTCTTAAATTTATTTTTAAAGGGAGCTACTATTAAAAGGGATGAAATCACAGGAGCTGTTGTTGTGGCTCGGATAATGCGTGGAGGAGCGGCAGACCGAAGCGGTAAGAATTTTTAAACTATAGTTACAGATATTGAATGCTGGATTTAATTGCCAACTTTTTAAATGTTAAATCAAGCAAAAACTATTAATTGGATCTTACTGTGTTTTAATGTATCATGGAATGTAATTCATTTTTTATCAGGTATGGATTATTGGAGCAGATGTACAACCATAATATTGTGTATTGTATTTTATTCATTCATTCATTCATTCATTCATTCGTTTATTTATTTATTGAATTTATATTGTTGCCTATTCACCCATGGTGATGACTTATTATTATTATTATTATTATTATTATTATTATTATTATTATTATTATTATTATTATTATTGTTGTTGTTGTTGTTGTTGTTGTTGTTGTTGTTGTTGTTGTTGCAGTACTTTAAAGAAAAGGAGGGAGAGGATGTTGTCAGTTGGAAAATCAGTTTCTATATCAACTTATTTCTGCCACTTTACAATAATACTTCACATTTCATGTAGATTGTACACCTAATATATTAATAATTAGAAATTCTGCTTGATAACAAAGATGTTTTTATAAACTTGCCAAAATAACACAGTATATACAGTATTGGAGAATGTTTATTGAAAAAGAATTTCACTATCTTTGGTTCTGTCTAATGTCATTCCATTAATCAATGAAGTTTCTTCTTCTGAAGATACAGCTAGTCAATTCTGGTTAGCAGTTTTCAACTCTGCCAAAAGCAATCACTTTCATAATTGCCTCCCAGCCCTTAAAAAAACTAGTTCAGAAAATTTTAGGGGCTATCTGGTGATGAAGTGGTTAGGGAAGTTAATCAGCTTAATGTTGGATATAATCCCTTGTTGATATAGACACACATGAGCACATATATACACACACATATATAAATCATCAGTACACAACTAGGCTTGTGAAGAAGAAAAGCTAATGTTTAGTTGGAAAGAGCATGGCTTGAAAAATGTTCAGGTTGCAGTGGTGCATTTAATAAGAATTATTTAACTGTTACATAACTGTGTTTCGTAGGTCTCATTCATGTAGGTGACGAGCTAAAGGAAGTCAATGGAATTTCAGTGGCTGATAAAAAACCAGAAGAAATTATACAAATTCTGGTAGGTTGAAAATAAAATATTTAAATTAAAAATGCAGAAGATTAATTTTTCAATATTGATGTTTTTGATGCTATTATCTGAAGTTCCTACTAGATGTTTATAAAGAAAAGAGTATAAAGCAGTCTCCATAAAAAAGTGAAATGACTAAGTTACTTTTTGATAAAAAAGTACAAAACTAATAAATGTATATTCATTTTACCTGCATAAAATATAAAATAGATATATTCAGACCAACACAAAAAGTACTAATTTAAAATAAGTCTCCTCCCAATGTTGTTCCTTAGGTTAAATTCTTCTCTCCATAGTGCAAAAAATTGGGTCATATCATACCTGAAAGATCTGTTACTGGCTTTTGGAGAAGTTATACACTCTTGAGTTAATTAATTATTTGTTAATTATTTATATTCCGTGCAGACTTAAGATTCAAGGAAATAATTTATTGAGTAAATCTTTATAATATATTTATGGTATATATCTGATAAATAGCTATCATCTTCTAAATTATAAACAAATTACATAATATTATATAAATTTATAAAACCCTCTGATAGAAAATAGAGATTTAATGCATTGTTTGCTATAAAAGAATAGGAATTGGACTGGAATCAGATGCAGATTCAATTTATTATGTCTTCTGTTTTGTTTTTAACTATATAATATAGTAATTTATATTTACATATTTTAGTCTCTGTCCCAAGGAGCCATTACATTTAAGATTATACCCAGTATCAAAGAAGAAAACTCATCAAAAGAAGGCAAGGTAAACACTTGTTGGATTCAACTAAGATTCTTCATGTGATGGCTGTGTAAAATTACTTGCGCACACACACTTAAATGGCTGTTCAATCCAGGCTGTTCAATCTATATATGTAAATATTTTTATCACTATATTAAACTTATTTTATAACAACAAGCAACAGTAACAACAAAAGAATTCCTTAGATTTTAAATAACTCAATGTAAAAAAATGTATTATTTTCTGCAGATCTTCATGAAAGCTCTTTTTGACTATAATCCCAGTGAAGATAAAGCAATTCCCTGCAAAGAAGCTGGACTTCCTTTCAGAAAAGGTGATATTCTTCAAATCATGAGCCAAGATGATGCAACCTGGTGGCAAGCCAAGCTGGAAAGTGATGCCAATCCCAGAGCAGGCTTAGTTCCTTCAAAACACTTCCAGGAAAGGTATGTTATTACTGAACTGATTTTCTATCCCCAATCCCCAACACTTAAAAATGTGATCAGTATAACTATTAGAGCTGTACTGGAATGCAGTATAAAGCCTGAACTTGGTATGCCGGCTAGGGAATTCCGTGAGTTCTTAAAGTAGCCAAGTTTTAAAAACAATGGTTTAATTGGTTATTATTCAGCTGCTTATATTGATAATGATAAACGTGACAGAACATGATAATCTTGTTTGTGAGAATAAAACAGATGGAAAAGACGACACCAGTATCTACACCAATACTTGTAGAATGTGCTGATGTGTTTATTATAATGTCTTTTAAAATTCTGGGTGATTTAAAAACACACACACACACACAAAAATACAGTTAGTCCTCGACTTACAATCATTCATTTAGTGACAATTCAAAGTTAAAACGGCACTGAAGAAAGTGATTTATGACTCTTTTAAGACCATTGCAGCATTTTCATGATCAAAAATTCAGATGCATGGCAACTGACTCGTATATATAACGATTGCAGTGTCCTGGGGGTCATGTGATCAACTTTTGCGACCTACTAACAAGCAAAGTCAGTGGGGATGCCAGATTTATTTAACAACTCTGTTACTAGTCTAACAACTGCAGTGATTCACTTAACAACTGTGGGAAGAAAGGTCTAAAAATGAAGCAAAACCATGGTCTTGCTTAGCAGTAGAAATTTTCAGTTCAATTGTGATCATAACTTGAGAACTACCTGTACATATTTATTAATACCAAAAGAGCATTAAAAATAAAAGAGCTTAAGTTTTGTTTTCTTCCCCTTCTCAAATTACTTGATAGGAGACTTGCTTTAAGAAGATCAGATGTACAATTTCGGCCCTTGAAGATTTCAAATAAGAAATCATGTAAGTCTGTTGCTACACAACTTGCTTTTTGCATTTACAAATTACTTAGGTCCACCCAATAAAGGAATGATGCTATTCATTCTTTAGACCCAAACCTCTCTATAGTATAAGAAAAATTGCTGGTTTTGCTTCTGATACCAGACCTTAAAGTATATACTTTTACTATAATAAAGAAAATAAAATAAATGTAGGAAATAGATTGTTTCCTCAATCATTTAAACCAGTGATCCCCAACCTTTTTTACGCCGCGGCCCGGTACCAACATCAGCTGGGTGCCGCCATCTTGTTTTGATGAAAAAGTGCTTCCGGTGAGCTTTCTACCCGGAAAAGCTCACTGGAAGCACTTTTTCATCAAAACAAGATGGCGGCGCCCAGCAAGCCAGCGGCCCGGTAGGACTTGTTCCACGGACCGGTACCGGTCTGCGGACCGGTGGTTGGGGACCCCTGATTTAAACCACAGGTGTCAAACTCACCGCATCACATTGCCTTCACATGAGGTATCATTTTTTCCTTTGCAGAGCTGGGGTGGGCATGATCTGCGCTTGATGCATCTGGCCCGCAAGCTGCCAGTTTGACATCCCTGATTTAAAAAGCTCTATTAATGTTCCATTCTTTTTAAAATTCCAGGTTAATTAGTTTTAATTCCAAAAAGAAACATTCTGTAATGTAGTTACTACTAAATTGTAAATATGCACTATTTAAAAAAAAATTGTTATGATAAAAATATTTATCACATCTAGAGTCCTATCATATTTGTGTATTGCTTTTCCACTTCACTGACTGAACGTTGTAAATAAATGCTATATTTCCACTATTCTTTTCCATGCTGGAGTTGGTAGAAATACTTCATCAAGCCTATTATTATTCCATTTTCCTAAAGCTTTTGTTCTATAGTGTGAAAATATTTAATGTTTGTAATTAATCTTTGGTTTATTATGTTCTCATTCTCATTATCTGCCTAGGCACTATGCTCCATGTTTCGCCAATTTTCATTCTGTCAGCATCCAAGTTTGATGATTAGGATATAAGACAATAAGAGGTTGAAAAACATGGATAATTTGATGAAGCTAAGCAAGCCATGCTTAAGAACAGATTCCATAAATGAATAAACATTTTGGGATCAAGAGATGCTTAATCTTATTTTCCTCATGCTATCAGAAATAGAAATAAGTAAATAAAAACTTCCATTAATATATTTCTTATACTGTTGATATTACCTAGTTTGGATAATGAAATGTCTACAAGAAAGCAGCCACGCTCAGAACACCAAGGGACCCCTATATGAGTTATCAGTCAGGGTTCGGGCGATTGCCCTAATTAACTCATGAAATAGGAATGCTTTACGAGTTGACATTACACAGGAAAGAACAATAATGATACCAGCCTACCAAGCAGTCCAGCCTCTAGCACAGGGCTGTCAAACTCCTAGCCTGTAGGCTGGATGTCTCACATGCTGGCCAAGCCTACATCAGTTTAGCAAAGGGAGAAAAAGTCCCAAAAGTTCACTGTGATGACGTGAGTTTGACATCCCTGCTCTAGCATTTGTTCAGCTGTTATTAATGTTTCATTGAAATTCTGGATTTGAAGAAATAAATTGTGTTGATTTTCAGACAAGGTTTGAAGAGTAACTAAGCCCAGAAATTGATTAATCATAAATTTCTGGAAAATACAATCACCCCCCCCCCCAAAAAAAAAAAAAAGAGTTCAGAAACTTATCAGGCCTCACAAAGGACTAATCTTTGTTTCATATAGTAGCACCTAGTACCTAGATTCATGTATGTAAATATGTGGTGTCTCAATTGCATGTTATCCATTTGATGGTTTCTCCTGAGGACTTGGATCTATAGTTCTTACAGTCATTCAGCATAATGATCTTTTCTTTTTGTTGTGATTATTTTAGATCTCATGTGCCCTTTAAAGAAATAAAAACAGTTCATCATTTGGCCAGATCTTATCTCATGAGCAGATGTTAAATTCAAGGGGCAGTATTCAAACAAGACTTAAAATTACATATTTTATTAAATCTGAGGGTAAAACCAAATCTATAAGCTGGCATAGCTGATAGCAAAACTTCTATTAAATTTAAAATCTGTTAATTCATTTTTCTTAGTAAAATACTGTCTTGTTCAGTTAGCAAAATGTCCCTATTATCTAAAAAATGATACTTTCCTCCTGTTATTGAATTGAGATTTTTTTCATGTTTACAATTATAGCAAAATAATTTTAGTCTGATTTTTCCCCTTCAATTTGATTAGCACCATGCTTCTATCATAAGTATTCTCGTTTTAAAAACATAGTATTCACCCTTTGATATTTTCTTGCACAAATTGTTTTTGTGACATAATTGTAAAGTTTATGTTTTGAAAATGCTTTATTTATTGCTGTCACTAAATTGAATCATGTCTCTAAAGACTTAAACTTTGTCTAAGATCCTAAAGTTGCACTACAATTGAAAGATATTTTTAACGCTTTGTGTACACATGGTCTAGGTTGATCTTAGTGGTTTGATACTCAGTAATAAAATATATTATAAATTAAAAGATACTGTGACTTTTCCTAAAGTTTATTGGAAAAATATTATACATCACCCATGTCTTCCAAATGGTACATGTGTGGGAAATTCTTAGTTTTTCAGAAAAAGGAATTGGACTGGAAATGTTGTTTGTTCTACATACAGAATTATCTGTCTGATCCCTCAGAAGACATTTGTACTTTAAAAATAAATTGTGTCAATGTCTTTTTAAATAATGCATGGGACATTTGTTTAATCACACTCTTTTATTCATTTCATTCCCCACCCTCTTTTTTGCATATTAATTTTCCTTTTAATTCTGTAGAGAGCATTGTAGTCCCAAGCTGCTTTTTCCAAAAGGCAATCAGGACTTTCTTGTGTTTTTTTTTTCCTTTGAAAACATTTCACTTCTTACCAGGAAGTTCTAAATCTTGAGTTCTAAATTAAGCTAAAACTGAACCGAAAAAGCTTATTGGATGAGAAGTGAAACATATTCAAAGAAAAGAAGAAGAAAGTCCAAGTGTCTTGGAATTCTTTTCACTCATTCTAACAAAATGAGCTCCAGTATAGTAGCAGACACCCTATTGCCAAATATTAGTTGACAATTCATTGACAGCTCTAAATATGGAAACAATAAACATCTTACAGAAAAACAGGTACCGAGTTCCCTGTTAGGAACTCTTTGTACAGCCCTGGCCTTAAGAAATTTGAACATGTTATTTGACTTCCAGATCATAAGGGGGGCAGTTAGGTAATGAATTTATCATAAAATTGTGTGATTGAAGGTGCCATAATATTAGTGTAATACTCTTGGTAGTTCAACATCATACTTAAAGTAAACAAATAACTATTTCCACCAAAAAAAATTAGCTACCTTCTCTTCTGTCTCAGCTGAATGCTTTGTTAATGAGAGAAAACAGATTCTGGCAAATTAACAGGCTAAGCATTTCTCTAGTAGTGGCTGTCCCACAACAGATGTTGCATCAATTAACAAGAGCAAACTTTGGGAACCTACTTCCCAATGAAAACTACTTAGAATTACGTTCTTAATGCATTCTCAATGCTACTCAATTATATGTTTTCTTTCATAGTTTTTTTATTATTTGCTGAAAATATTATTTTAAATAAATCACGTCTGCTTGTTTGTTTTTTGGCTCTTCTAAGCTGAGGAGACAGTTGAGTGTGGTAGGTGTCTTTCTTCTGCATTTTAAATTTTTCATTCTTTTACTGTGTTCTCAGTCTGTGTAATTTTGCCTCCTGTTTTTCCCCTTTTTTTGCTTTTCAGGGAAAATTGAAGGTACACGTGTACGTTTCGCTGCTTGGTGGTAGAGATGGTCTGAAAGCTAGATTAATTAAGGCATCTCTACTTTAGAAGCAATTAGTAAAATAAATGTGGCTTGTAACCGCAAATTTAGTGATACAGACTAGCAATTTAGCTATTGCAATACAGTTCCAAATCTGAGCTGTCGTGTAAGCAAGTTGGCCATGTGAAAGGTAACATGCATGCATGAGGATAACTGTGGGGTAAGGCATGGGGTATTACTCATTGCTGGATGTGCCTTTTCAATTTATTATATTCCCTCCATACTCTCTTCCCACCTAACAGTGCTCTGGAAAGAAAAAATCGTCCTGTAGAAATATGTTTTGGTATATGGATTGAATTTGCAGGCTTTGGCTTAATTTGTTGTAATTTATTTGAATGTTACTGAAAAAAACCCCATAAGATAATAAGCAGGTGCGTTCATTCAAAACACCACAGTTGGCTAAAAGATAGAGTCGTTGCTGTTGCATGATTCTTAAAAAAGTCTTTTTCCATTGCAGATTTCAGTGACATAATTTTAGAACCTATTTTGTCAATTTACAGGGTTTTTTTTCCTTCTTTTTAAACTGCTGTACTGCTGTCATTTGAAGAATACATAACAATTGCAGGTCATTAATTCACCAAATCAACTGTTTGTTATAACTAAAAAAAAAACTACAACCTGCTTTGTCAAGAGAGCTCTGGCATATTATGACAAGCGTGAAATATTTTGGATTGAGCAAATGGGCTATATGTTCATCAGAAACCCTTTCTGTCTGATCCATTGAGCCAAACATAAAACTTCTTTGATATTCTTTGTAAATAATTTCATATTTGCTTCAGCTACTATTTTTACCTTCTACTAAAGCTTTAAATTTCTATCACAAAAAGGCAATAAAGCCACGGAGTATGCATGTTGCTGTGTTGAAGAACCTCTTACTCAACTATAGAAAAATATGCTGATTTATTTTTAAACAATGATTTATCGAAGGCTTTTCATGCTAAGCTTTATACGGTTGTCATTCTGAAGTAACACTTCCTTTGCATTTATGGCTGGGCATCTAACTATTCTGCTTTATTTCTTGGCTTTTGTTCTGTATGCTTTTACACTTCATCCAGAGGAAGTTGAATGTGCTGGTCACAACAGTGGAGCCCTTATAGGTGAGCCGTTGCTTACATAAGACTCTT